CCTACGCCTCCCGTCCCACACCAGGCCTACCCACCCAGCTCCTTCACCACAAGCCAGCCCGCTGTGCTGGTCGTGCGCGGGCCGGGGAACAACGGCGGTGATGGCTTGGTCTGCGCCCGGCACCTGAAAATGTTTGTGAGTCTCTCGTGCGGGCGGCTGCACGCTCCCCCCGGGGAGGGTGCCCGTCCCCGTGTGCCCCCACACCTGCAAAAGCTTTGGGGTTCCCGCTCTTCTGGCTGCTCCTGGTGCCAGAGCGCCGTTCAGCTCACTCCTGCTCTTGCAGGGCTACGAGCCAACCGTGTATTACCCCAAGCGCCCCAACAAGCCCCTGTTTGAAGGTTTGACCACCCAGTGCCAGAAGATGGACATCCCCTTCCTCCCCGAGTTCCCGGCCGAGGTGAGGAGCAGCCCCTGGCTAGGGAGCCGCCACCCTCGGACCCTGCGAGCGGTCCCCGGGGCCTTTTTTCGCCCGTTGCCTTCCCCGCCACAGGCTGCGCTCATCGATGAGCTCTACGGCCTGGTGGTGGACGCAATTTTCGGGTTCAGCTTCAAGGGAGCGGTGCGGGAGCCCTTCGGCAGCATCCTCAGCACCCTTGAGCACATCACGGCGCCCATCGCCAGCATCGACATCCCCTCAGGTGAGTAACGGCCAGACCCACCGGAGGAAGGTGCCCGGCCAGGGTCTTCTTGGCTCCAGCCTGGCCTCGGGGCTTGTTGCAGGCTGGGACGTGGAGAAGGGGAAAGCAGACGGTCTCCAGCCCGATATGCTCATCTCGCTCACGGCACCCAAGAAGGCGGCAATGCATTTCGCTGGCCGCTACCACTTCCTCGGGGGCAGGTTTGTGCCTGCCGCGCTCCAGGAGAAATACGCTTTAAACCTGCCACCGTACCCCGAGGCAGACTGCGTCCTGCAGCTGACCTAGGGCTGGGGCTCAGCAGGGGCTTGGGGTGCCAGGTTAGGCTTCGGGCACAGCAGATCGGGGCCTAATTCTGCCAAAGCCACAGCTCTCTGCTAGGAGGATGCTCAGCACCTCACTGGGCTTCAGTCCTACCCAGGTCTGCCAGCAGGATTAAAGTTCACTGCAGACCAGGGCGTTGGGATCGATAGGGCGGCTGCCAGGCGGGCTCTGTTTGGGGTTGCTACCTAATGTGAGTGCTTCTGGGTGTAGACGTGATCCAGGATCCCGGGGTCTGCCATGTATCCTGCACTTCAGGACAGTTTCACTGCAATAAAGATTTATTCATGCCCCTAAAAAAATATTTCAATACCCTGTGGGGTCTGTTCCCCTTGTGTCCCTCTGCAACAGACCCACGGCAAACGGGTCGCTGCCCCAGGGCCTGGTGGGAATGGGGGTCACCCCTCACAGGAGGCTCAGGGAGTGAAATAAAGCTTGATCCAGCTCCAGACCAACCAGTCCCAGCCCAGCATCCCCAGGAAGTGAACACACGGCTGGGCCACAGCGCAGGGCTCCACCTGAGAAGAGCCCGGAGCACCCTTGGGCACCCATCAGCACCAGCGGGCAGGATCAGGACCCTCATAGCCAGATGGTACCAGCAGCTGCGCAGCACGGCAGCCTTGGCCTTTGCTCTGACAGGCTCCCTCTTCCTCTTCTTCCTCTTCTTCCTGGGGCTGTGCCCAGCCTGGTCTGGCCCATCTGTGTCTTCCAGAGGTACCTCTGTCTCAGCTGGCTCTTCTTTGTCCTCCTCCCCCTGCTGCTTCTTCTTCCTCTTTGCAGCCTTCCCTTCTTCTGCCACCTGCTCTTCTCCGCTTAGCTCCTGGTTCTTCTTCTTCTTCCTCTTCACGGCCTTCCCTTCCTCTCCTGCCACCTCCTCTTCTCCGCTTAGCTCCTGGTTCTTCTTCTTCTTCCTCTTCACGGCCTTCCCTTCCTCTCCTGCCACCTCCTCTTCTCCGCTTAGCTCCTGGTTCTTCTTCTTCTTCCTCTTCACGGCCTTCCCTTCCTCTCCTGCCACCTCCTCTTCTCCGCTTAGCTCCTGGTTCTTCTTCTTCTTCCTCTTCACGGCCTTCCCTTCCTCTCCTGCCACCTCCTCTTCGCTTAGCTCCTGGCTCTGCAGCACCTCGGCATCGGCTCCATCTCTGGACTGTTTCCTTTTTTTCTTCCTTACTTCCTGCCTCTCTGCTGGGGGGCTGCTCTCTGGGGGCTCACGCTGCCGCTCCTTGTCTTGGTACGTGGCCAGGAAGGCTCGCTCCTGCTCCTCCAGGCGCGCCAGCTTGGCGCTCATGGTCAGGCCGTGACGGGCACCCCTGCAACGATCGTGGGCAGCCACGGTCCAGCACCTCCCTGGCAGGGAACGTGCTCCCCCCCGGCCCAGCCTGCTCAAAAGCTGCTGTCAGGAGGGGGGGACCCAACCGTGCAGCCCCCACCAACCACTTACTTGTGTGCCGTGCGGCCCCCGCACGCTCGCATCAGCTCCTCGTCCGTCAGCCTGCGGGACACAAGACAGGACGTGTCACCCCCAGCATTGGCACGGGGAGGAGCGTGGTCCAGACCGGGGCCGCCCCTCGCAGCCCTCATCCCTCCCCACCGCTGCATCATGGGGATGGAGCATGCACCGCTGTCCCAGCCTCACCTCCTAGCCGAAGAGAGGTCCAGCTTCTCCTCCTCCTCGCTGCTCTCGGAACCAGCGGGCAGCTTCGCA